GTTTGACATACTTCACCACAGCATAACTGGCCCATTCCCTACACCGACTCAATATACGACTACAATATCATTAACTGTGTAAGGTGACATATTTCGCCACAGCATAACTGGCCTATTCGCTACACTGACTCAATATACGACTTCAATATAATTAACTGTGTAAGGTGACATATTTCGCCACAGCATAACTGGCCATTCCCTACACTGACTCAATATACGACTTCAATATAATTAACTGTGTAAGGTGACATATTTCGCCACAGCATAACTGGCCTATTCCCTACACTGACTCAATATACGACTACAATATAATTACCTGTGTAAGGTGACATATTTCACCCAGACATTTGTTTTGTTAACTGTAATGACCTTGACATGCCCGTCCTTGTTCCCAAGCTGTGATTTTGTAGCTACCGCCACGTCAAGAGCAGGTGATGTAACAGCACTCCCGACATCGTCACTGGTCCAGTCGTGACACGCTGTGTCTGTCTGGCTATATTTAGGCTTGGCTACATACTCCATATTTACATCGTTATCAACTTTTTACACCAAGATGGACAAACTCAACCAAGATCACAGCAATTCTGTTCATAGTATATAACCTCTTCTCACATGAATACTGTTCTATACAGTAAATAAATTTGTGTATTACAATTTGTGAGATCATCCATTTTCATGTCCGAATTAGGTTAATTACATGAAGTAATTGCGTTTGTATTGAACTTCACTATGTGAACCAATCAAATTGTAAGAGGTGTCACCCGGTTAGGTTATGATGTCTGTTTTATAATATGTCATTGTGATGCTTGGCAGTCTGCCTCAAATAACACCATGAATCGCCTGCAATCAAACGCTATCTAGTGACTAAGATTTTCTGAGTCGACATGTTCTGTCCATATCATTTTAATAACGTTGCATACACAAAAGTAATAAATGACTAATATCTTAATTTTTTTTATAATGTAAATTACAATGGAATGTTATCTATGTAATTAGCATTTACCACAGTTATGAGTCTGATTTACTCAGACAAAGAAGTTTCGATGACAGAAAACGTCTCTTTTTGCACAAAGTTGTATTCTTTTTAACAATGTGATGAAAAGAATAAGTAATTTGTTTCCATTGCATACACGTTTTAGCAAATGTGCCCCAAAGGACCAGTGGAAAAACATTATTGTTCCCAAGAATCTCTTCATCAGCAGTCTAATGGGTTGACATTGCTTCACCAGCACTAAGCTTCCAAGTCACCTCCGATATCCTAGACATTGTTAGCTATCTTTCCATAAGCAACATTTACCGCCAAAAAAAACCCACCTCATCTTTTTTAAACATTAATGGAGACATTAAAGTTTCAATTCAGAAACAAATTGAGTTTCCGTTGGCAAGCTAAATGGAGATTTAGTACGGTTGACAGGAATGAAGGTTTCCGTAATTCTATTTATAGTATTTTATCACGACTCTGATCTTTTTCTGCCGGTCGACTTTAAAATTATTTACACTGTACATGTATTGTAATTTTTAAGATTTTTTTTAATGGTGCACTTGAGGGGATTATTCTTTATAAAACGAGATTGTAGTCATAAAATATCAAGGTCCCAGACAAATTGACATGAACAGTAGTAATCAGGTGTCTCCTATCCACTAACCAACTTACAGGCCTCCCAGTCGCAGTTCTGCAGCGTTTGTGAAACTTCAGCAAAATTTTGTAAGGCACAATACAAGTCAACATCACTAATTCACGAGGAAATATCCAAGCACAACCCGAGTACCATACGGTGTGTTTGGACTCCGTGACCTGTTCACTCGGTCAACCTAGCTTTGGACCCAAGGACAAATGGTTACTGGTCTCCATGGAATCTCTTCATCAACAATTAATGGCATGACTTTGTTGCTCTCTAGTTTAGCACCAAGTGTTCTCGCTCACCTCCAAACAAACTGATACAAATCTCAAAAGTTGACAGATGATTTATTCACTTTTCTGCACAGCAGAATACATGTTATTACCATTATATATTAACATCTTCTCTCACTTAAACATCATTACATGTAACCTTCAACTCAAGCTGAGCTGTAGAATGAGTCCCATTGTAATTTGAAAATAGACAAAATTACCTTTTAGTTTGTTAACTCATTCACCCCTGAAATTTCAAAATGAACTATTCCAACCTTTTAATTGGAGGAGTTCAAATGTGTCTTCAGGGGTGAATGAGTTAAATTGACTTTCCTGAGGCAAAATTGGGGGATTGGCTGTTATACTTGGTGATAAATTGTACGACTTATCATATTTATAATATAATTCTCCCTACCCCTAAATGTTGGCCTCGGGAACAGGTAGTGTTTATAGAGAAACAGTTTTTAAGACAAACTAAAATGTAGCTTTTTCTACAAGTTCATTGTAGCTAACAAATATTTTCAGTAAAATGATACATCTTATTTAATTTATAGCATATAAGGTTTGTCTGAAATTCACTCATGTACCTGATTTTTCAAGAGATTGTTGCCCCTCAAACTTCCATCAACTTTAATTTGTACTCCATTAACCTTTGTAAAATTGTCACATAAGCTCTGACAGTGAAGGTTTTACCGTATTTCACCGGTAATAAGCCCACGTGTTTGCTGGTAAGCCTGCTTTGAACAGTTTTGAGAAATAGTCATATCTATAAAAGTTTAAATACAAGAACATGTCCAGTGCCCATGTTATCGGGATTTCTATCATATTTATCTGGTAATAAGCCCTGCACACACATTTTTTGCAGTTCAATAGAAATACCAACAAATGCTTGTTCCATTGTCCTCGATTAACTCATTCACCCCCGAAGATGCATGTGAACTCTTCCAATTCAAAGGTTGGAATAGTTCATTATAAAATTTCGGGGGTGAAATGGTCAAGCCCAATCCCACCTCCTATGTTGAGTCAGAGATCATGTGTTGTCTTCCTGGGCTTATAGCAGGATAAATAAGGTAAAAATAACAGCCCTCCCTCACCCACCCCGGCTTGTTACAGGTAAAATACGGTAAAGTATTAACATGAAACTCTAATGAACAATATTTGATACAAGAATCTCCCAAACAAACACATATTCAGATCCTGTATTGGCGATTCTGCTGGACCTTTCATACGCTATTATTTCACAAACAACCTTTAAACAAAGCATGTGCACGCTCATCATTATCGGTAGAACCTTACAGAATCAGTCCACAAAAATTGAAAACACAGAGGTAAAATTTGTATCTCTTGTTCAATTAGTTTGGCGATATATATACAGTAATTTACATGGTTAAAATGCTTAAAAACATATATAGAAGAGATATTAGATGAATGATGATTAATCAACTCATCCACCCCTGACATTTCATAATAAACTATTCCAACCTTTGAGTTGGAGGAGTTCAAATGTGTCTTCAGGGGGTGAATGATTTAATTGTGATTGATAATGGATCGCGTAAGTGTTTATAAATATAATGTACAGACTTCTACAAGTAGATATTTGAGCTTTAAGTCATACGATTGTTTACAGATCAAAATCAATTCACAAGATTTAGATATCTGGTTCACCCCATATATTAACAAGAGGCCCAGAGGGCCTGTATCGCTCACCTGGTTACCTTAGCAATCATGGCAAAATATTCTCCAAATGAGATCAGGGGAATATGCCAGACCCCAAGGCCAATCCTTGAAGCATAACTGTATTAGATTTTGTCATGCCCAGCAATTTTATGTATGGTTATGGAGTGGGGATCTCAACTGTTTCCAAGCTTTGACTCAGAAACTAGGTCCCTAGGGTTGTGGCCAGACCCCAGGATCAATTCTAATATCGTGACTGCATTTGTCTCTTTTTGCCCAGCATTTGTATATATAGTTTTGGGGTGGGGATCTCAACTGTTTCTAAGTTATGACCCAGGGGTTAAGTCTGCAAAGGTGGGGCAGACCCTGGGGTCAATTCTAATATCATGACTGCATTCGTCTCTTTCTGCCTAACAATTGTATATATAGTTTTGGGGTAGGGATCTTAACCATTTCAAAGTTATGACCCAGGGGTTAAGTCTCCAAGTGTGGGGCAGTCCCTAAGGCCATCCTGGAAGCATATATGCAATCATCTTTATATACTCAGCAGTTGTATATACGGTTATAGGATGGGGCTCTCAACTGTTTCCAAGCTGTGACTAAGAAACTAGGTCCCTAGGGTTTCGGTCAGACCCCAGGGTCTATTCTGATATCATGACTGCATTCGTCTCTTTATGCCCAGCATTTGTATATATAGTTTTGGAGTGGGTATCAACAGTTTTAAAGTAATGGCCCAGGGACTATGTCTCCAAGGGCGGGGCAAGACCCTAGAGCCATCCTGGAATCAAATGAGCATTCTTCTTTTTATACTCAGCAATTGTATAGCATGGTTATATGGTGGGGATCTCAACCATTTCCATGTAATACACTTTTTTGGCCCCACCCCTTAGCCCGGGGGTCAGCCCCACCATTTGTACAATTTTGAATCCCTGCCTCCCATGAATGCTTCCGATCAAATATGATCAATATCCATGGCATAGTTCTACAGAAGAAGTCGTTTATAGCAAAATTGCCCCCTTTTGGCCCCGCCCTCAGTCCCACCATTTTTACAATTTTGAATCCCCATCACCTAGGGATGCTTCCAGTCGAATATGGTTGATATCCATCTCTTAGTTCCAGAGAAGAAGTCGCTTAAAGCAGTATAGCCAAATTGCCCCACTTTTGCCCCATCATTTGTACAATTTTGAATCCCCACCACCTAGGGATGCTTCCACTCAAATATGGTTGATATCCACTTTGTAGTTCCAGAGAAGAAGTCGCTTAAAGCAATATAGCCAAATTGACCCCTTTTGGCCCTGCCCCTCAGCTCCCTGGGGGGTCAGCCCCATCATTTGTACAATTTTGAATCCCCACCAGCTAGGGATGCTTCCAGTCAAATTTAGTTAAATTCCAATCAGTAGTTAAGAAGAAGAAGTCGTTTAAAGAAATTGTTGACGTACGTACGGACGACGGACGCAACCGTATGGCATAAGCTCACCTTGGTCCTTTGGACCAGGTGAGCTAACAATCAGCTTTTCCCTGTACCAAATTCATAATCTGACATGTACAATTTTGGAAAAAAAATTGAATGAAAACGTGACACTGTGATGGAAGTGTGACAAAAATATTACGACGTTAGGATGCATGATGTTATTTAATTTCGTGACATGATGAAAATAATATTTTTTGGGCAAGTTGTGATAAAACCTAATTACTGCAGTCATGGGTAATTTGAGAATTCTGCTTGGATACAGAGTGTTTCAATAGAAATGTTCCTACTATCAGCACCCTGCAATACTCTACTAAGAAAGTAGTTATGGGCAGAAACTAATAAACAAACTCACCAAACCATTGTCTTTTATGTAAAAATTCTTTGACTTGAACATTTCAAAAGAAAAAAAAAACAAAAAAAAAATAATGTCTAGTTTACATACAAATGATAAAAATTAAATGGACAAATGTCATGTATTTACATTTCATGAAATAACAATTTTACTACAATGTATCAGCATTATTTGGGCATTCATACTATAGAAAATTAAAAGTATATTATATAAATGTCATTCAAAGTTCTTGTACAAGTTATGATGAGGAAAATGGGCTAAAATGTGTGTAAAATTAATCTGATAAAGAAAGGCAACAGATTTATTTTGATGTTACCGTATTTGACAAAACAACTGCTATATCCCTTAAAGCCTTTATTTTCCTATCCATTTCCTGGTCCCAGCACTCCATTCCTTCATCAGAATTCACTGATTTACTTGGGAAAAGAAGTATTTATTGTAGCTATTTTTATTGAGAATTTCCAAAGTTCTGTAATTTTTTTTAATTTTCCCAAATTGCTTAGTTTGGATGGCATTTATTAAGGTAAATGTGGTATGTCAAAAGTGATATCACAAGGGTACCTATATTTAACAGATTCACTACATAGAAGATGTTATATCAACATTTTGGCTTTTGTCTTGAATACTCATAGTCATCAAAAACAATGACATACACATTCCCACCCTGTGGCAGCACAGTTTTGGCATAGTTCTTAATCATATAAGCTCAAAGCATGATCTAATAGCTACTCAAGAGAGATGATGAATGATTTCAAAAGGAAAAGTGTGTAAAGTGTTCCAGATCATTATCTATCATAAAATTTAGAAAATTAATTTGAACCTTAGGTACAATTTATACTGGAATGATATTACAACAGCAACTCGGTATTATACAATGTTATTTACATTCTTAAAATGGATTACAATTCTTTTGTATTTTGAAATTTGTCAGCAAGTGAAATATCTGTCTGTATAGACAAAGCAGTGTCATTAATTAAGTTTCCCCTATCATTACTTTCGTAATGTCATCCACTCTGGAAAATGTTCTGCGTGGAACAAGTCTGAAATCGTCTGAATTAGCTATGGATGGAAGTGTGTGAGAAATATCAGTGTCTCCTCTGATAAGCCCACCCCCCTGCCATTCTATTGATATGTTGTCCGGTTTCTTGCTCCCTCAGGAATCGCCTCCTCCTATCTTGCTATCCTCGACTTGTCGACTGGCTGGCAGATACACCTTGAATGAGAAGTCTGTCCTTGGAAATGATCCCTGAAAAACACAAAACAAGTGCTCATGTTATCACAACCGCTATGTTATTCCGTTACATAAATGTTTCGGCTTTGAGAGTGACAATACAATGAAAACATGCTGTCACCAAAACTCTTGAAACAGAAACACATTCTCAAGCTTTCTGAAAATAATAACAATATTAAACAAGAGGCACAGAGGGCCTGTATCTCTCAACTGAATATGTTTAAAATAATTGGTATGAAGTCAAGATATAGCACTCGATGGTAGGTGCTGTAAGTACATATGAAATTTCAGAAGGTCCATCCAGTACTTGAGATATAGCAAGAACAAACTTCAAACAGAGCCCCAGCCGTTAGTGCCCCTACAAAATGGAGTCCTCTTGGCCCAAGGATGCTCCAGACTAAACAAGCATACTGAGTATTGCTGAAGCAATACATGTCCCCTACCGGCCCCCGCAATCTATTAAGATGCAACAGTGACCTCAACCTAGATCCGAGGACCTTGAAACTTGAACTTGTCCAATATATTGAAATTTTTTACAATAATGTGAAGTTTGACTAAAATCCATGAAAGAATGAGGCACTAGAGTGCTGACAAAGATTTTCTAAAATAGTAATAGTGACCTTGTCTTGCCCCGATTACCTTGAAATTGTCCAAGATATTTAAATTCTTTACAATAATGTGAAGTTTGATTAAAAACTAGGAAAGAATGAAGGCGCAAGAGTGCTGACAAACTTCTTCGGACAGACAGCGAGGAAAACTTTAGGTATTCTTGTTTTCTTCTCCCTCCCTGCCACCCCCACCCAGTTTCACCGGTAAGGGAATAAAAATACTAAGAAATCTTATTTGTTGATTGTAAAGGTATCTTTACAAGTGTGTGAAGTTTGATAAACAGGCAAGGAAGAATGTTAAATAAAATTTTCTATTTATAGTAACTGTGACCTTGACCATTTGACCTTAAAACTCGAACCTGTCCAACTCAAACTTGTCGAAGATATTTTAATTCTTTATGACTGTGTGAAGTTTGATTAAAAACCAAGAAAGAATGAAGACGCTAGAGTGCTGACAAAGTTTTTCTATTTATAGTCATAATGACCTTGACCTTGATCCGATGACCTTGAAACTCAAACTTGTTGAAGATATTTTAATTCTTTACATGTGTGTAAAGTTTGATTAAAATCCATGAAAGAATGAAGGCTCTAGAGTGCTGACAAACCTCTTCGGACAGACGGACAGACGGACAGACGGACAGACGGACGGAGGTACGGACAGACGGAGGGGAAAACTATAGTCCCCCCGGTTTCCCGGTAGGGGACTAATAAGGATAAAATCCCTTAATCACGACGGTCGAAGAAGGGTTTAAAAGGTTTTACCTCTATTTCTCCTATTGGGTCCCGCCCCTCTGCCCCCTGGGAGAGCACGTCCACCGTTTATACAAAATTGAGTCCCCTTGGCCTAAGGATGCTCCAGTCCAAATTAAGTCAAAATCTACTCGGCCGTTCAGGACTAGTAGTGTTTTAAAGGAAAAGTTGACAGACGGATGACAGAAGCTGCGGTATGGCATAAGCTCAGCATGGTCCTTCGGACCAGGTGAGCTAAAAAAAACTACAAATTGTTTGTAAGGCAAAAATGTCCCTACCGCCAGGCAAATTAGTGTCATTATTTGACAATTTTATATAAATGGTAATAATGACACTGATTTTGGGGACCTCACCTTCATAAATATAAGAGATAACCTTGTATATGACCTTTGTATACAGGTAGATCTAAATCCGAGTTGGTAGGCAATTTTTTTGCAAAAAGTAAACATGATCTTGACCTTTGAACCCTGAAATATGAACTTACTCAAGATATTCCCATTCTCCACTCCTTACAATACAAGAGGCCTTTTCCCAGAGATGCTCTAGAAGTTTGCCCTATTGGGCCTCAAATGCACCTTTTTATACAAATTAAACAAATTGAGTATTTCCCACCCTATAAGCATGCTTCAGACCACGTTTGGTTTAAATTACTTCACTTGTTCAGTAAGAGAAAAAAATCCTCTATTTCCCCTATTGGGCCCCACTCCTCTGCCCCCAGAGGGTCCACACTCTCCGTTTATACAAACTTTGACCAAAGATGCTGAAGAACAAATTTGGTCAAAATCCTGCTATTTTTTGAGAAGAATATTATTAAAGATTTACCTATTTTCCACCTTTTTGGCCCCGCCCCTCTGCCCCCAGGGGGACCATACCCTCTGTTTAAACAAAACTTTGAACCCTTTGGCCAATGATGCTCCAGACCAAATTTGGTCAAAATCCCTTCATCGGTACAGATGGAGAAGGATCTTGTATAGTAGGAGAACAATTTTCCTCTATGCCCCTCTGCCCACAGAAGGGCCACACCCTCCGTTTATACAAACTTGAGGCTCTTTTGTCCAAAGATGCTCTAGAACAAATTTGGTAAAAATCCTTCTATTGGTTGAGAAGAAGAAGATTTTTAAAGATTTACCTATTTTACCCACTCAGCAGTATTGTACATGAAGGACTCATTTTATGCATCACAAAATTAATCATTCCCATGTGAATAATTAATTATCTATCAATAAAACTGATATTGAATTTTACTGTCAAGAAATAAAATGAAATTCACCATAAATATCAGGATGCTTCCAAATGATTACAGATCAATAAAAACAAATTTTTCAAATTATTTTCCATCGTGAGATTATAAAGAATTAATTTATGAAATATTGATCCAACCAAGCCACTGACAGTACCAGCATAGAAATACAATATTATATTATTTTAATTCTAAAAATTATATTTCATGAGGATCATTTGGGAATTCAATGAGAATGATTTACGATAATTGATACCCCTGGGAAAAGATTTACAATGTATTTACATAATCAACTATACACCCATCCCTAGTTATTTACAGGATCATATTAGGGTTTTAAGAAAATAATTTCATTTCAATAAGCGTTCTATTACAACACTCATCACTTCAAATACCATATCAAACAGATTTCGTCATCAACATAATAAAAGATCTTTGGCCAAAGCAAGACGCATGTCAGTCTCCTTGTACGTGTGGGTTGGTGGGTGGGGGGTCGTGGTGGTGGTTGTTGGGAAAGGATTCCCATAGGTCAGCGAGCAAAATATTTTTTTGAAAACTGGAATGAGTCCATGAATACTTCTGCAATTCTTGGGCATATCCTATGTTGTATACATACACCTTATACACCGATCAAACAATATATGGTTTTCGTCTTTACATCAGGGGGCACGATAGTCTAGTAGAAGGACGCCGGGCTCCTGACCGAAGGGTTGCGGGTTCGAGTCATGGCACAGTGTTGTAACTTTGAGCAAGATACTTTACTCCGCTTGTTCCAGTCTACTCAGCTGTAAATGAGTATGTGGTTGGGCAGTGTGCTAGAATTGTTGAATGCTAGCTGTTAGCGCTGAAATGGCAGCTCTAGATCTGGCTGTATGCTTCCCAGGGAGTTGAGAAAGGTATTGGCTGGTTGCAAAGGCCCTATACCACGGATAATAATTTGTGAACCACTTTGAGATGACCTACGAACAAATCCATATTCCGTTTTCTGTTCAGAACTAATAAGGCAACTTCCGATATCAAAATATAATTGCAAGGTTGTTTGATAGTATTTATCATTAATATCAGCATTTTTTTTTATACCAAAGACGAATCGCAAAATTTTCTGAGGGTATCAATGAAATATTAATAGCTGCGATAAAAACCCGAATTGCACCCGCTGCTTGTCAACAGTATTAATATTGTTGCTGGCATATTATATTCTACCGAGTCTATTTAATCTTTGGCCCAAACCAGGATTTTACACAATCGAGAAAAAAAGGTTTTTTTTTTATCTAGAATGCTATAAAATGCTTTATGGTTGCAATTGGCTCCAAACGATAGGGTCGATCAGGTAGCAAGAAACTAACATACACTTTGTTTTTGCCTTATTTCAAATTCATTGATTTTCATCAAAATTATTTTCGTGTTTCATTACGAACATAAAAGATCTGTTGTTGTTTGCCCATCTATTCTGTTCTGTGTACCGTGTCCCCGTGAGAGTACATCGGTACCTGATCAGGATATAACAGTTTATTAGCCAGTGATCCTTGTCAATAACCACAAGCAGCTTGTGTTATCTAACCTCACCCTGATCAGATAACGTCCCAAGGACACACAACATTGTACCTCATATTTAGAGCATTCTTCCAATAAATGTGTTAATTAATTTTTACGGTAAATTAACACATTTTACTGATCTTCTAATGTTAGTTAATAACATCTTCTCGTTAAGTATCGACATACGTCATTGAATCAGTGCCCACTCGTTTTCTACCGCACACACATAAAGCTAGGATGCAAATATAGATTCTCTACAAAATGGATGCTGTCTGGCTTGTTGTAACATGTTTTTAAAATTTCTTCCAATCTGTCTCATCTTCTGTATTATTTTGATGTACATTGCTGTGATCACATCATACAGTTTCTGCGTACCAATATATCTGCACATTAGCTAGCACTAGCTTCAGCACCGTCGGGATTCCCAGGCCTAATATAACATAATCGTTACCAATTATGAGAACGACTTCCTGGGCTCTTTCTGATATCACGAACAATTCAAACCAAAGTCGACGCAATCTAGGGACAATCTCAATCCGGCATGCCAACACTAAATATTCAAAAGTAATACTTAAGTGATTTATCCGCTGAAAAATATATGGCACTGTCTGAAAACAAATATCATATGAACCATTTGGTAGTACATGTACATGTTATTCCTTAACTCATTCATCCCTACATGTTTAAACTGGAATTGCCCAGTCTTTGATTTGGTAAGGTTAAAATGTGACTCCAGGGGTGAAAGGGTTAATAAATACAAACTGAGCTGGGGCTCACTATAGATACACCTCATAATGTGGTTTCATGTTGACCTTTGACCTTTTAACTTGACTGACGACCATCAAAATCTAATCAGGCTTAGGAATAGACATCACCATAAT